GGCGAAATATTGCAACGCAGCGCATTCATTCCATCCTGTGATCGATAATCGATCTTCTGTGATCTATTCTCCAACGTCACTGTAGTCTATGTTTTGTTGTCACTTCTTGCGTCAGTCGTCCCTACAATTGTAGGGCACCTTTATGGCCTCCTTGATTGTCAGAGTTTTCTACTTCTCCGTGTCAGCGCTCTCTTTGAGGTTATGTCACAAACATCTATTTGCATCAAATTGTGCTTGCTTTTGAGTTATATCATGTTTTATCAGCCTCAAATTTCCTATAATTTAAAAAGAAAACATATCTTCACAGTAGGAGAGCACTGACGCTGACCCGGGACAACTGTAATCTAGAAATTTTTGAAGTAGAGAAAGGAGTATGACAATCAAGGAGGCCATAAACGCGCCCTACAATTGTAGGGACGACTGACGATACGGGCCTTAATGTTTGCCGACAGCTAATCCGCTGTGCGTACAAAACCTTCTGACAGATCAGAGGACATCAGTCAGCCAGTGACCTTGACAGGTATCACAGTGGGTCGAAACTACATTGAGGACTAAAATTGCTTCGCAAGAGGCATTTAATGATCAATTACTCATCTCTAATGGACGGTCAGGGGACACCGTCGCACTGACGGGCCGTTGGCGATCTAGCTACGCCAACGGGCTTTGCCCCTCAGAGCTCCTTCATGGTGTCGCCGCGCGATGTGCCTGCCTGACTTCGCCCTCCCATCGTAAGCGTGTCGAACTTCGTACATCCAGAACTGGTCGATAAGACCGCTCCTATGTCCCGACGGTGTCGAGATCGTGTAAAAATCTACATGAGGAGATTTTCCCAGCTCTACTAACTTTAGGTAGTTCAAAAATGGGAATAACAAAGTTTCTTTATGCTCCTCAAAGCAGCCGCGGTGCCCTGGCATAAAAAAATAAAATATTTCAATTAAATATCAGCCAGCGCTTTGCTTTGTGCTCAATATTTTGTTTATCGACCCGGTAATGAATACAGTAATCTGACCAATAGAGGACATAACTTTCAAGAATCGTAATTAATACGATTTTTGTGATCACTAATCTTTTGAAAATTTTTGTTACAGTTGCAAAATGCGAAATTACGCGATTTAAGTCTTGCGTCTAAGTATGTTCGTAGTCTGAGTTCTTTTTGTCCATGTTGGGAACTCTGTGAAACTTACAGCTTTGTAAGCAGATCTTGATAATTGTAGTTATGTTCAGCCGTTTTAGCTTTTTAGTGTATAAACACCCTTTATTATTCAAAGACGTTATTAGGTCCTTGTAGTATTTTCACTTCTTTCTTCTAGTGAGTGTCTCCATATACAGGGTGTTTCTAATTTGGCACTTACCATTGGGATCTTGGAAACTGTAAGGGATACGAAGTCGCTTAAATGACAATTAGGAAGTTTCGAAATTCAAAGTACTTCCGGAGAGTACCGGAAAAACTGAATTTTCCCAAAATCGTTTTGATTTTTCCCTGACTTTATTTATATTGGGAATTCAAAATAAATTGCACATTAACAGTGCCACGTTTTCTCCTTTACAAGAAGGCATACTCAGAATTTCTATATGACGGTTCGCCTCTTGTCCTCCAGCATCAACTTTATTATTTCTTAAGGACGTTATACTGCATTTTTGCACAGATGAATAGAGCTTTCAATTTTAATTCAAAAAATGCATAATACGTCATACATTGACATTGTCAAACCTTGATTACTTTAAGAAAAACAGAACGTCCCAAAATGGTTTTAATTTTCTCCTGACTTTATTTGTGATGGGATTTCAAAATAAATTGCACATAAACTCTGCCACATTTTCTCCTCTACAAGACGGCACAATTAGAAATTCAATGTGACGTTTCGTCGTTCTGCAGCGTCAACTTAATTTTTTCTTATAGACGCCAAATGGGATTCTTACACACATGAATAGAATTTTTATTCTGATTTAAAAAATGTATGTCATACATTGACATTGCAAAACCTTAGTTATTCCAGAAGTTCCTAGATAGGCCTTGAAATTATCAGACGTTTGTTTCGCTCACCAGATTTATCCCAAAAACCGCCCTATTTTTTCTCTCTATTCGAGATGGGATTTCAATATAAATTGCATATTGTCATTGTTACTTATTCTCGTCTGCAAGATGGCGTATTCAAATTTCCAATTCGACATTTCTTCTTTCGACTTCCATAATCAATTTTGTTTTTTCATGCGGACACTATACTGGAATTTTGTACATTTAAATGGACTTTTTAAGCCCTAAATTCAGTGATTGTTAGTTGACCATAAATTTGGTGTTGGATGAAAATTAAAAGGAAATAGAAAGATATGGTGAAACCGGAATACAAAATGAAAATTTTATTGATGGTAATAACAATAATAACCATAAATAAGCAGAGATATTCAGTCTTCCAAACTCTGTTGCTATGCAAACAAATGACATCTAATAAATTCAAGGCCTATCTAGGAACTTCTGGAATAAATAAGGTTTTGCAATGTCAATGTATGGCATACATTTTTTAAATCAGAATAAAAATTCTATTCATGTGTGTAAGAATCCAATTTGGCGTCTATAAGAAAAAATTAAGTTGACGCTGCAGGACGACGAAACGTCACATTGAATTTCTAATTGTGCCGTCTTATAGAGGAGAAAATGTGGCAGAGTTTATGTGCAATTTATTTTGAAATCCCATCACAAATAAAGTCAGGAGAAAATTAAAACCATTTTGGGAACTTTCGATGTCGATTATCTGAATACACAACTTTGCTAAGATTTAAGTGGCTTCGTATCCCTTGAAGTTTCCGAGATACCAATGGTGAGGGTCGAATTTAAAATACCCTGTATAGGGAAAATATTATTTCTACCCCAGCACAAACAGTCAGTTACTCCCTCTCCATGGGCACCCGTGAGAAAAAGCTGAACCACAAAATCTCAAGAATTCGTTATTTTGTTTATTTTTTCATCAGCTTTGGGTTGGACTTACATAGCTAGAATAATAAATACTGTTTGTGCATACACTTCGCGGCTGGGCGACAAGGGAACAGGTAACAAAAACCCTACTATCCGAGTTTTATTAAAAGTCATTCACAATACTTCGTACATTTCTCATGCATAATCACTGCAGACGTTTATTCAGAATTCTTAGTATGCGTTTATTTCTTCAACTTGTCATTCGATGTGTGGATTCATATTTCTTCGAATTTATGTTTATACTTTATATATGAGAATTGAATGGTAATTACTGAGCAAACCTCCTTGACCTTTCTGGGTGCTGTTATTTTTTAGAAAGTGTCCATGTTTTCCTCTCTAAAGGAAAATTCGGGCACATTTGGATAGTTGGACGAAAAATCCTAGATCATTCTGGTTTACAACTTTTTCAAAATTGTCTACTTCATTCTGAAAAAAATTACATTCGAATAATTATTGTACTTGATTTCGAAATCTGACAACTTACTGGAAAATTATTTGCTGACTGATTTGACAGTCATCAAACAGTCAAGTTTCTGTACGAACACCGGATTAGTTGTCGGTAATCGGTCTGCCCTCCCTCAACCAACTCGTAACGTTCTCATGTACGCAATTAATACAGTCAGCGACGTGTCAGTGACAGCTAACTGCGTGAACTAGTTCATGACTTGTCGCCGACTATCAGTTTGCTGATTGTCAGCAAACAGCCGGTACGAACAAACCATAGAATGATCACAAGATGCCTTATTTTGAAGCTCCTTATCACCGCTTTACAGCCCCAAAACAAAAAGTCACTATTTTTCAAGCTGGCGGACTAACCTGTCAGCGTTGAGCGTTTTTGGATATTGAATCGTTTATAACTCGACAACAAACTAATATCACAAAGTTATAATATGTTATATCAATCTTCGTATTTGTGCATATCTTATCTTATGACACATTTTGAATTTCTCACTGATAATCCATAGAGCCTCCGTGGTTCGTTCCATTGGAATGTTTTCAATATGTATTTACATTGTGTATTGTTGATATGAATAAACGAATTTGAATTTTTGAATTTATTTCATGAAGGATAGTCACCAAATTATTTGAATACGTTCTTTCTTAGTCGGTCCGCACCATCGCGTCGCGTGGACTGGTAGCACGAAACAGTAGACTAAATTCATCCAAAAACCGATTTACAGAGGTTTCCGCACTTCACAACTGGCGCTCCATTTTTCAACATTTTCTAATGCAATTTTTACAGCGTGTTGAAAACAAAGCTCCACATGGTGCTACCGATCCACTTTTTCTATTTTATCCACCCTTATATTTTTAAAAAATTAAGAAGTTCAACACAAATAGTAAGCATTTCAACCCACCAACATCTTTGCGCAAAAACTATTTTGAAAAGAGCACAAGTGCACTTAAAATAAGTGGGCCAAAACTATTTTGAAAAGTGCACAAGTGCACTTAAAATAGGTGATTTTTTTATAGTTCTGTCATTAACCCGTAACCACTTTTATCACGTTGAGTGTGATGTGGAGTTTTTAAGACTCTCGAGTATATTTTTAGAATACGAAATAGTATAGTATGTATTTATGTTTGGTTTGTTATAAATTTTATTATAAACATCAAATTTGATGATTATCGTTAACCTTCTTCATATATACTCGTGATGGGCCGCTGTATTTTTGACGAATTTGTTCCAATTTTTTGTTCGTAGAAGTTACGATAATGGCTATTATTTTTTCAATGAACGAAGTGCTCAAAATTTTAACTGGATTTGCTTCATGTTCTGAATTTAGAGCTTCGTCTTTGAGACCAAGTAGCGTAAGAATTATATTATGGCTGACTGTAGGCACATTTCTTGTTGATTCCATAAAGGACCATTTATGTTTTTTTTTCATAAAAGTGTGTTTCTGTAGTCGAATCGTTAAAGCTATTTTCACTTGAAAATGACTTCTGCGTTATACCATCGTTGAGCAGAAATTGATCGTCATCATCCGGAGTCTCCTCGCTGTCGCTGTCGTGGTCACTCACAATTTCACTGCTATACCATCGTGAGTGTACTCTCATAGTCTTTAGCGTTTATTGTAACAGTCTCTTTTAATGTACTGGCACGTAATTCCTTCTAAAATATCATATATGTAAAAACAAACATTAAAATTATCAACCACAAAAACTTACGATAAGAGTGAGGTGGAGCCCGTGGGACTCCTTGACGTATAAAAACACAAGCACCCAAACACATGTTTCAGGTAGATCTGCAACCACCGTGTCAAACAGGACTCGCATATCCAAACTAAAGTTAAATAGGCGTACATTGTTGTCACTTGATACAAAAAGTAGTTATAGCAAAAAAAATATCTGCCGGAGTCTGATAGACTCAACCTCACCAGTTACGGGTTAAACTCATGTTTTTGAACCCTTATAATTGGCTTGCAACTCACTAAATCGCAGCCGCCGTACCGAGTGAATCTACAATTCCTTCTCGTTATCACGTCATTGGGAGTAATGTTTTTATCTACGGGAATATGGATGTCTCTGCTTATATCCAGAGAAACATCACATACTGCACAACACAAATTGAAGTTACGGCGAAATGGCTACATTCATGATGGGTCATGAAATTCAGATCAAAATCTAGGTATAAATTCCGCTAAATTATCATTCTCAAAAACATATTTATTAGGCAAATCGAGGATTTTAAAGTTCAACGCTAAATTCCCCTATACTTCGCTGAAGTGATTACCTATTTCCAAGGACCTAATAATTCCCATTATAAATATCCGAATTTATTCCTCCCTACTATCGGCAGTTGCAGATCTGTTGGCTCTCGGTGTCAAACCTATATCGCAGGTACCGATTTTGTCAAATCGTGAGCACATTAGTCATCGGATTTTCGTTACTTAAATTTCCTTTAATCACTGGGATCAGAAGCTTCTTAATAATAGAACGTGTTTCACTGATAAAGATGCAACATTTATAATCACCTTCTATAACCCCCACTTTTTAAGCACGACAATTTTGTTGTGACAATGATTAGGAACCCCTGAAACGTCAAAAACGGAGTTTCAACGATACTAACCGCCACTGGGCTAAAACTACGAAACTTTGGCAATAGTAGTAACCCTGTGTGGAAATACATAAAAATTCGATCGGTAATTTCCAAGTTATACACGGGCAAAGGATTAGCAGACACTGGCGTGGGAAGTATAACTGCTTTAAGATAGAGGAGTTAAAATTTGTAATTTGCCGAAGCAGCGTAAACGTCAGGAAATCAGTATATTCACCACCTGAAGTTTCATTTATTGTCCAGTGTAAGCTAGAGATATCAGAGAGACAACCTGAGGATAAGTTCAGTAGTTACATTTACGTGATTAGTTACGCATCAGCGATCGCGATTATGAACGCCTATCTGCAGAACTTCCAGAAATCCAATTAGTAGAAACGGACGCTTCATTTTTCAATATTTTGAATGAAATTTTTACAGTGTGCTTAAAACAAAATTCTACAGGGTGCTATCGAGCCACTTTTTCATTTTTTTGCTAGGCTCTTTTTTAAAAAAATCGCAAAGTTCCACAAAAAAGTAAGCATGTTAACCCACCATAAATCTTGCGCAAAAACAAAATGTCAAAAAGTGCTCCGATAGCACCCTGAGCAGCTGTCTTCTGAACATACTATATGAATTTCCTTCAAAAATATGGGAAAAATGGAGTGTCAGTTTCGAAACAGCTGAACCAGTGGCGCTCCCAGAATTTCAGTCTGGGAGGGGTAAAATGGAAAGTAAATTCTCAGTGTGACGTACTCAAGAGTTATAATGATTTAAAATTAAAAGCATGGACATATGCAGACATTTGAATTTGTTACAGTAATTTCTGTAGAAAATACATACATTTTTTTTCAATTTTGAATCATACGAAATCAAAGTGTAAATAAAGCAAACCAAGCTCGAACAATCTTCATATATTAAAACAAAAGTAAAATAATATAATCTATCACAGACTTTTCTACATAACAATGTCAGACAAAACAACAAAAAATACATCTTCATGAAAAAAGTAACAATAACAAATATGTTACGACTTCAATAAAGTATAAAACTGAATGTAAATCAAAATAAAATTCTTAATCATGAGAAAAACACAAAAAATATTGAATGCAAAAATACATTCTCTTAGCCAGTCTCAAAAACAAAAACATATAAACTATGAAACTACGTCAGTTCACAGTCTCAAAATAAAACATTATATTAGCTTAGAAAGTGATTTGAACAGAATTTGAACATACTTTTATCAATCTGCTGGCCAATAAATAAAACCACATATCTTGATTGGATACTTTGGAAAAGATCACCGTGGTGGTTTACACGTAAGTAAACCCTTAACTACATCTGGTTTTTTATTTATTGGCCAACAAAAGGGAGATGGATTTGAGAGACAACCTTAGACAAAGTTCAGGTGTTATCATATTACAAAATCAAGGCGCCTATTCTTTTTGCTGGCGAACCGATCTATGATTGTATTCACGCCTCTTTTAATATCCCTATGCATATACAAAAGACCTAAACCCACTAATCGCTCTTGTAACATACTGGAGCGCAGAAAGTTTTTATCCTCTTTAGATGGGAGAAACTTCTTTTAGATGTCGCAAACTTACCGGCAATGAAATCAATAACTGTAGGCATCTATTAATTGAAATGTTTTCATCACATGATAAATACAGTGACATTCCACTGACTATAATATCTTGTGTACGTGACTTCCAAAGGTCAAATTCTGCTTTTAATCTGGTACTTATTAAATTTTTGTTTTCGTTACTATTTAGTCCATGCAAATATTTAGAGATTGTTTCTAATATGTGTTGAGGATAGGTAAGCAGAGCAATTCAACTCGCAGTGGTCTTCGGTTCAGAACAGTTTATTGATTACATGTACATGAATGGGTAGATAAGCGACAGGTGTAGATCGGGCTTCCGCGTTCCACGATCCGCGCGCGTGTGCTGGCTGCTGTTGTACTTCGACTGCTTCCCACGACTGACTCTTCACACTGACTTCATTCTGTGGTGCGGCGCGCGGGGACAGGACGGCGGTTACAAGCTTCTAGGTTAGGCACCTGTCTGGTCGTCTCGCCAGTAGCGGCGCGGCGGGGTGACGCTAGTACGCGTTCCAACACTTCCCCTCGAGACGTAGCAGACACATACAGGTTCTGGTCCGTCGTCTGTAATCCCAAAAGTTCCATGCACTTCCGATGTTTTGCCTCGACAACCCCTTCGTCAATACGTCTGCGGCCATTTCAGAAGATGGTGTATGCTTCAACTTAAACTTCTTCTGTTCCAAGGCCTCCCGCACAAAATGGTAACGTATGTCGATGTGCTTACTTCTGGAATGATATCTTGGGTTCTCGGCCAATTTTATAGCACTCATATTGTCGCTATACAGGGTTACGTTAGCGAGTCTTTCGAACCCAAGTTCGGTCATGAACTTGCCCAAGTAGATTGCTTCCTTGGCAGCTTCGGTGGTACCCATATATTCCGCTCGGTGGTAGACAATGCCACTGTGGCTTGCTTCTTCGATTCCCACGATACGGGTCCGCCTGATAGGATGAATGAGAATCCGGTATACGAATGCCTATCGTCAGGGCAGTTTGCCCAATCAGCATCAACGAATCCTCTCAGATTCATGTCTTCTCGTTGGTATACTATCGAGTGATCGATGGTGCCCTTCAGATACCTAAGTACTCGCTTTGCGGCTGTCCAGTGTTCCTTAGTGTAACAGTTGTTGAACTGTCCTAAGTAGCTTACGGCAAAGCTAATATCGGGTCTCGTTCCCAACGATAGATAGGTTAGCGCACCTATAAGCTCCCTATAAGGTAACTTCAGCTCTTCACTAGATGGGCTCTCCGTCGGTTCCTTAACTTCGTTCCTGGATCAAGTGGAGTGCTTACAGATCGTCGCATCCGCCATGTTGAATCGATCTAGTATTTCCAAGTATATGCTCTCTGGCTTAGGACTTATCTTGTTTTTCTGTAGTGAAAATTCCATCCCTAGGCAATGATAAATGATCCCAGTCTTTCATTTCAAATCTTTCAGATAATTTGGCTTTTAGGGACGATATTGCCTTTTTGTCACGTGATGCGATAATCAGATCGTCTACATAAGTGACAATTATCATAATGTCTTTCCCTGTTTTTACTAGTGAAAACACATGGGTCGGACTTAGTTGGATTTGCACCACATTCACTAAGTGTCTGGCTTAGTTTCTGATACCAGCTCCGACCGGCTTGCTTCAGGCCGTATAGTGACTTCATAAGTAGACATACTTTATCACCTTTCCCAGTAGGTGTTCAAGGTATCTCGCGCCTTCTTTCTGGTAGCCTCGTTGTATTTGGAGTTATCACAAATAATCTTCAATGATTCATCCAAATATTCGGGGTTTCCATGTAAATCGTCTCATCTAGACTTCCATTTAAGTATGCGCAGGTAACATCCAGTTGCTGCATGTCCATATTTAAATGTGCTGCTAGGGCAGATACAAGTCTTATGGAGCTAAGCCTTGCTACAGGGGCAAAAAGTCTCGTTGAAATGTGTTCCGGGCTTTGGCTAAATCCCCGAGCGACTAGTCTTGCCTTCCTCCTTTCGATAGTTCCATCAGGCTTGTACTTGTTTCTCAGGACAATACGGCTTCCAACGATGTGCTGGTTACATGGTCGGTCGATTAATTCCCAAGTACCATTCTTCAGATAGATGCCACTTCGTCTGCCATCGCCTTGTGCCATTCGTCAGCGTCCTCGCCTCTGACTGCCTGATGCATCGGGACCTCGGACAGTAATACCTTCAGAAGAGAGTGCTGAACCTCTCGGGGGTGTCCTGTACCTGTATATCTTTCTAGGTCTTCCCCTCGAACCAGTTCGCCGAATTCTGGGTCTCCCGCGGGCCACGCCTGGGTGGCTCAGAATCGTGATCAACCTCGGGCTCTTCTTGTTCCGTTGTAGGAGATTCATGTTCTGGATTTTCGTTTCTCGACAACTGGGGATAGCTGTACCTCGATAGTATGCGTCTCAGATTCATTCTCCTTGGATGATCCTTCCAGAATAAAATCTGTCCATTCTTGGCTTGTGACTTCTGCGTTTTCCAAGAACTTAACATCCTCGTGACTACGAATTTATTCTCCTTCGGCAACCAGACTTGTATCCTTTCGTTTGTTCCGAATACCCTATGAAAATTCCTTCCTACATCTTGCGTCTAGCTTCCCCTTGCCTGATCTTGGTTTAGGACAGAAGACCTTGCAACCAAAATCTCTGAGATGCGAAAACGTCGGGAGTCTTTCCAGTCCACTTTTGTATGGTGTTAACCGTTCAGACTTTTGGATGGACATCTGTTCCGCAAATAGTTGGGCCGTGTTGATGGCTTCAGCCCAAAAGATCGGAGGTAAGCCGGACTGCATGATTAGACATCGTGCTGTATCCAAGAGAGTGCGGTTTTTCCTCTCCGCTTATACCGTTCTGTTCCGGAGTGTATGGGCAAGTCAAGCGACGTGAAATTCCGTGCTTTTTCAGAGATCCTCCCATTCCTTACATGTGTACTCGTCCCGTTGTCAGATTGGATGCACTTTATATTTTGTTCTTTTGGTTTTCGACCAGTGTAATATATTCCTGAGTCTTTCGCACAACTTCATTTTTATGTTTTCATGAAGAATACCGTGCAATACCTAGAATAATCATCTATGAATTCGACAAAATATTTGTACTTCGAGTGAGATTCTACTCGCATGGGACCGCAAACATCAGTATGTACGATTTCTAGCATATTCCGATTCCCTGTCAGACTTCTTCGGGAATGGTGAACGGTCATTTTTCCGCCGTATGCAAATTCGCAATTAAGTTCCCCATTATTAGGCATATTTTCAATATTTATTCCACCTAATCTTCCTTTCTTCAATGAAAGAATTCAAATCCTGAAAGTTCAAATGTCCTAATCTACGATGCCATAGTTTGACATTTTTAGAATTCATGGTCGAAATGAAAGCTGATTTATTCTGCGCTTCGCCTTCTCTCGCGTAGTATAAATCGCCACTACGATCGGCTACAACTTTATATCACCATTACTATCATAGATCAAAGCATTTTCTTTCTTGAATAAAACTTCAAATCCTTTATCGTAATCTTTGCAACAGAAAGTAAGTTTACTCTTAGGTCGGGAACATGAAAAGCTTTGTGGAGTGAGATGTTTTTCGTGTCGCAAAACGTCAGCAACAAACGTAGCTGTTCGGAACCTGTAATGTCCGTAAATTCACTATTTGCTAAATTCAATGATCATGTCTACGTTCAAGGTCAGAAAAACAACTAATGTCTTTACATAAGTGAGACGTTGCGCCACTGTCTAGACACCATTTCAGTCTTTTGTGATTCTGTTCAACATGATAACATTCCGCGGTAACGACGTCCCACGTGTTCGGAAACAGTTCGCTTCACTTTGTAAGAATTGGCAACAGTCTTACCTTTGTCTGGACATTCAGCGGCCTGTGGCCTACTTTTCGGCATCTGTGACACTTATACCTGAACGTTCTTCTGCCTTCCGAGACGCCGCTGCCTCGTGCACCTTCCGAGACGCCGCTCGCGCCTCGTGTACCTTCCGAGACGCCACTGCCCCGTCCGCCATTTCCTGCGTGACCGTGATTTTTCCCATAATTCCGCTTCACGAACATGGCGCCTTCCGTTTCTCGAACGTCGCCTTTCCGCGCAGTATACTCTTCTATAATTTTTATTCGAAGAATTTCCGGGATGGTAATTCGTCTCTAGACTCAATTGCACCCACCTGAAGTTTTCAAAACTGGCTGGCAGGCTATACAATAGCATTATCGCTAATAGATCTGCATTGATTTCTACATCCATGTCATTAACTTGTCAACTGCATCGAAAAATGAGTTTAAATGACATCGTATGTCCTGTCCCTCTTCCAATACGTTGCAGTGTAAGCTGTTTGAGCAATGTGGCCTTTCTAGCGGGTCCTTTTGATTGGTAAATACCCTCCAACTTTTGCCACAGTTCCTTGGATGTATTACAGTTCTTTACCTGTTTGATTTCTGAGGGGCTATTGACAAATTATGTCCGACATCGCCTTGCTGTCACCTTTAGTCCAGGCTTCTACAGCTCTCGTGGATGCTTCGTCCCCATCATCTATCCGTGGCTGCTTTATCTCGCCAGATACATAACTCCAAGTGATCGTTTCTTACCAGCAATGCCCTCATCTGTATTTTCCACGTGTTCGTAGTTATCCTGCTAAGCGAAGTCTATACAGGGATACTTTTGCCACACTCATGTTGATTAACACTAGTCACACACTTGCCTATATTATCTTCAGCACTTGCAATAATTGTTCAATGTCCGTAGCACTGTCTCTGGGCCGTAACCTGTTGAGGATAGGTAAGCAGAGCAATTCAACTCGCAGTGGTCTTCGGTTCAGAACGTTTATTGATTGTACATGAATGGGTAGATAAGCTACAGGTGTAGATCGGGCTTCCGCGTTCCGCGATCCGCGCGCGTGTGCTGGCTGCTGTTGTACTTCGACTGCTTCCCACGACTGACTCTTCACGACTGACTGCATTCCGAGGTGCGGCGCGCGGGGACAGGACGGCGGTACAAGCTTCTAGGTTAGGCAACCTGTCTGGTCGTCTCGCCAGTAGCGGCGCGGCGGGGTGACGCTAGTACGCGTTCCAACAATTATATATATTATTATATATTATTAGAATTATATTTTATATTATATTATTATTATTTTTATTATTATTATTAATATTATTTATTATTTAATTATTATTATTTATTATTATTATATTAATTATAATTTATTATTAATATTATTATTTATTATTATATTATAATTATAATTATTATTTGATTATTATATATTATAATTATATAAAATTAGAATATTTATATTAAAATAATAATTCATATTATTATTAAAATTATAATTATTATTAATGATACTATTATATTCAGTATTGTTTTATTATTATTACTATTATTATTTTTACTATTACTATTATATTATTATTATAATTATTATTATTATTATTAAAATTATAATAATTATTATTATTATATTATTATTATTTTATTATTATTATAATTACATATTATATTATATTATATAATATATTATTATCTCATTATATATTATCCTCATTAGTATTAAATTATTATAGTATTATATTATAATATTATAATTATAATAATAATAAGAAATAATAATTAAATTATTATTATTATAAATATTATTATTAGTATTATATTATCATTATTATAATACTATTATAATAATTATTATTATAATAATAATAATTATAATAATAATAGAATAATAATAATAATAATTATTATTATTATAATTATGATAATTATAATAATAATATAAAATAATAATAATTAATAATAATATATAATTTAATTATAATTCTAATGATTAATATAATAATAATTGTAATTATAATAATGATATAATAATAGTAATTATAATTTTAATAATAATAATAATTATTATATATATTAATAACATAATAATAAGAAGAAGAAAAACTATAATAATGATTATATGTTTAATAATAATAATAATATAATTATAATAATAATAATAATAGTAATAGTAATAAAATAATAGTAATAATAAAATAACATATAGTAACAATAATAGTAATAATAATAATAATAATAATATAATAGTAATAATAATTATAATAATAGTAATTATATAATATATATAATCCATATATGTTTGTCCTATGTCTTTCTATTTCCATCTCAGATCTACCCCTGAGATGTTAGGTTTGGAAAAAAAATGACCTAATGAGGCAGGAGGGAAGCGGCTAATGACC